CCCGCGGTGCGGCGCTGCGGACCAGGGGTGCGGGGCCGGCTTCACCCCGCAGTCGAACGCGGGTTTGGGTGAAGCACCCCGGCGCCGCGGCCGCGTCCTTCCCGGCCTAACCCCCTTCCTTAGCTCCCCCCACTCCCGCCCCCGCCCCACCAGAGCTGGCGCTCCTGCCCATCGCGAGGGGCGGGCACCCCCTCCTCCGCGCCCCTCCTCTCCATCTCCCATCCGCCCCCCTCCGCCCCCCCATCCCTCTCTGGCCTCTCTCCATCCCGCCCCCCCCATCCCGGCTTCGGCCCGGGGCTTTGCTGCAGCCGCCCGCGGTGACACCGCTGCCTCCCGGCGCTGCGCCCAGCGCCGTGGCGCCCCAGCCTCGAGCACGGCACCCCCACCCCCCTCAACCCTTTCCCGCGAGGCTGCACCCGGGGAGCGGAGGGGAAGCTCCTCGCTGCCTCCCGGGAGGACCGGCGTCCCCGGGCGGGGGCGCACTGCCCGCCGCGTCCTCGGACGGAGTCGCCCGCACCGCGCGAGTTTGCGTAAGAGTGTTTTCCTCTTGTCAATCATTAATCCCCGGAATCAGCCCGGCGGAGTTGGAGTCTTAGCCTCCGAGCTGAGGGCGGGGCCCGAACACCCAACCCCGGGAGCCAAGGAGGCGGCCGCGCAGAGCGCAGCGGGCAGCGGGCAGCGCGCGGTAAGTCGGGCGGCCGGCGGCGGGTGGCGCGCCCTCCCCGGGTACCGGGGGCGCCGGGTGCCAGCGGCAGCCCTGGGCGGTGTTCCCCCCTATATTGCGGTTTCCAGCCTGGAGGTGGGTTCCCCTCTGCCGGGGCGGTTACTACGCGGGAAGCTGAGAGGTTCCATCCGACTCAAACTTCATGCCCCGCCGCGGGGGGGCGGAGAGGCCTCTTCGCCTCCATCCTTCACCTCCGTGCGGCTCCTCGCCAGCCGTGCAAGGAAATCTCTGGGGCGAGGGTTTGATCCCGCCTTAAATACGTTATTCTTACATATTATACTGTTACACTTGGGGTTTTGTTTTGTGGTGGTGGTGTTGGGTTGATTTTTGGGGGTTTGGGGGGGAGGGTGTTGCTGCCCTATAAGCTAACTTTGGGCTGTAACACCCACAAACCAACTTCCAAAAGAGTACAGAATTTCCAACGAAGACATGGACATAGGATCATTGAGGACAGTGCATTTTCTCAAAAGTGATTGTATTCGCGAGTTGTCCCTAACCCTGCTGGGGTTGTTGGAAGGAGGAAGGGGAGGATGGACAGAAAAGGGCCTGGGACAGCAGCCACACTCTGCGTTTGTTTCACCTCCAGTAGCATTCCACTGGTTTTCAGTTCCTAGAAGACCCCTACGCAGGCTCAAATAAACAGCCAAGGAATTGATCAGTGTGACTCTCGACCCCCTCCGCCCCCCCCCCCATCTAAATGAATTCAACAGGGAAGCAGGCAATGTGGATTTTCTAAAAGATTTTTGTGGGGCGCTAGTTGTTTGGAATTACACAAAACTTAAGAGGCATTTTTTTTTGCTAGAAAACTTTAAAAATGTGCACATAAAACTACTGAAGGTTGAATCACTTGATTTTCACATCTGAATTATTCCTATGCTTATTCAAACGGCCGTCACACGGATGGCTTTGTGTGTGTACGTTCAGCCACTTGGAAATAGATACAGCTAGACCAACAACGGACAACTTGGTTCTGAAAAGCACTGTCCTTCTGGTTGTCCAAATTATTTGTATACAGGTAAGCAATGAGAACAGTTTGAGAATGGTTTGGGAAGCCAAATGCATGGGTATTGAAATTTGTCTGCAAGATATGAAGCAGAATGTCACTTAGTGTTCCGTACCATTCTTTGTTTTTGTGCTGTTACTGGGAATTGAACTCAGGACCCCTTGATTTTTCCTGTTGAAGTCTGGGTATTCTACCACTTGAGCCACAGCTCCACATCTGGATTTTTGGTGTTTCCTTGGAAATAAGAATCTCAGTTTTTTTTCTGCCTGGGATAGTTTTGCACTGAGATCCTCAGATCTCAGCCTCCGGAGTAGCTAGGATGACAGGTGTGAGCTACCGATGCTCAGCTCTATGGCTTTTCTTCACCTGCTGGTTCTAAGTTTGGAAGTATCTTGTTGTGAAAAAAAAAGTATCCCTCATAATTTTGTTATTTTATCTATAAAGTCAGCATAAAAACTATTTTACTATCAAGTATGCAGGTAAACGCATTACAAAAACTGTCCAAAAAGGACTCTTTGAACAGTAGTATAAAAACCTCTTCAAACCTATTTCTTATAACATCCTGGTTTAAAAAGAAAGAAAGAAAGAAAACTGTGCATCTTATTGTGAGAGAAGATGCAGAGGAGAAAATACTTGTTCAAGACTTTCACTGCATGTCGGTAGGAGCAGCTGACGTTTATGAGAGTTGAGTCACAAGCCACCTCTCCACTTGCCTCTGACTTAGCTCTGGCCCAGGCTGGAATGTGTTTCACTGTGGGACTCAGGCCCACTCCAGAGCCCCAGAGCAATGGGCCAGCCCAGGGATGGCAGGTGCTGGGCAGAGCTAGCTGTGAACCCCGAGGCTTTCCCACAATCGTCTCCCTCCTCCTGCAGCAAGTGAACTCAGCAACAAAAAGCCAAGCAGGACGCTGGTGGCTCACGCCGGCAATCCTAGCTACTCAGGAGGCTGAGATCTGAGGACTGTGGTTCAAAGCCACTCCAAACAGAAAAACCCATCAGACTCTTTCCTCCAGTTAACTAGCCCAAAAGCCAGAAGTGGAGCTGTGGCTCAAGCACCAACCTTGAGCAAGAAAGCTAAAGGGCAGCGCCTGGAGGCTGAGTTCAATCCCCAGTACCAGCCCCCCAAAACGCCTTGAGGTGGAGGGAGGGAATCTCTTTGGCATGTTTAAATTCCCTGTACCACGGCCAGGCACATTCCCCGAGGACCATCACTGAGATGGGAGTAAGAGCAACATGGGTGTGGACGCCTGTGTGAGTGGCAGGCACTCACACACCTCACGCACCCTGCTTCTCAGTGTGTGGAAATGATCGAGGTGGCATCAGCGCAGTCCCAGGGGCTGGGTGGTCAGCAACGGTCCATAAGACTGGACCCATGCATTTGTTCTGTTCCTCCTGGTTCTTGAGGCTGATGTTCGTCCAGCATCTGGATGGATCTAGTCAGGATCTTACTCAGGTCCTCTGGCCGGTGGTCCAGTGCACCCACCTTGAGCTTTGTCCCCTCTGCTCCCGCAGAAATCCCGCCTCCGTGGTTGACCCAATGGGAAGATTAAATGTTTAATGTCCCACCATTCCGTTTGTGACTTAAGTGCATGTAGAAAAAATGTTCATGGTTATTATTATCATCACCATTGGTTTCTGGAGACAGAATCATGCTATAGAGCTCAGGCTGCTCAGGAAACACCCTAGCTAGCTTAGAGAAATTACTATTTAATACTGCGTTTATCAGGACTAACCATTTGATTTATTCCTCAGGTGGGTATTGAAAGTCTGCACTATTCCAGGACACTTTTAGGCCCTAGATAAACACATCAGGCAGGAGAATCCTGCTTCTTACAAAGCTTAAATGCCAGCACAGATGTCAGGCATTTGTCACCATCATATAATATAATAAAATACAATACAATATAATGATGAGTGAACGCTCAGCATTTGAGGAGTTAAGAGCTCCCATGGAACATAAACGAGAAGAGAGTGAGAAACAAATTTATATTGTAGTATCCAGTTCTCTAAGGATACAATGCAAATTCCATCCACACCCCTGGCCTCGATGACTCAGAGATAAGGTGGGGTGATCTCCAGGTGCTCACGAATGCTCCTCTTCCATTTGGACAAGGTGAACTCTCAGTGCTGCCTCCGTGAAGGGATTATTCTTATATTCCCCTCCGCAAGAGGTACATATAGGTAAGAGAAACACACAACTCAACACCTATATTAAAGAATTCCCAGCTTCCATCCCCGCTGCCACTGGAGAACAAGAATCGGCAGTGGGCTGATGGGCCTCCCTGGCTCCCCTTCCTGTGCATTCTTGTCGTCTTCCAAAGGCCTGTGTGTACACCCAGTGGAGATCCACTTGCCACCATGTACCCATTTTGAAAGAGGATTGGAAGTTGAGAAAAGGAAAAAAAGTAAGGCCTGGCTGGAAGGTAAAGGAGGAACAAATCTTTCAGAACTACAGGGAGTGAGCAGAACATGAAACTCCACATACCCACCAGAGGGAAAACCAAAAAAAAGTAACCCCGGTGCCACCCCACCAGAATTCCAATGGGGTTCACCTGGTTTAAGAAGCACCCCCACGAGGCCTTGTGCTAATAAAACGCAGTGGGAGTGGCAGCTGGCCTAGAATGGAGCTTTTAGATAATGGCTTGAAAGGAACCGGGGCTGGATTTTGTGACAAAGGGAACATTTATTTCAAGCTTAAAGGAGAAGCATTTAAGAGAGTAGGGAAAAAATAGAAATAAGTTGTTAAAAAAAAAAAAGAGACCTCCCCGCTCCAGTTGTAATGGAGTATTCGAATTTTCATTCACTTACCCAACAAATTTTAATTAAGCAACTAATAACTAAGTGCCTTCTGTGGTGAAGAGGTAAGACAAAAGTGATCTTACTTCAAAAGCCTTGGTAACTAGTGATTATGTAATAATATCTCTCGCTGAGAATTAGCTGAAGAATACAGGAATAAAGACAGAACTTACTGACCTGCCATCTTGGTTCGGACACCCTTCTGTGCCCCTGAGTACCCAGCCCTTTGCTGCCTGGACTCTTGATGTGCTGTGGGGGGTGTTTGCTTACTTGTGTCTCCTTTCAGAAAGCGCAAGAAGAGCCACCATGCCAGTGTTAACTGGAGTTTCTATCTCTCCTACATTCTTGCTCAGTTGCATGGTTGCCTGGCTGGCTGGCTGGGTGATTGGCCAGTTTATGGTCAAAAGTCTTTGTATAAAGATGCCTCCTGGCATATGTATGTTCTGAAGGTGGTAGCTCCCTATCTGTAATCTCAGCTACTGGGGAAGTTGAGTTCCAAAAAATCACAGTTCCAGACCAACCCTGGCAGAAAAATCCATAAAACTCCATCTCAACAGAAGAAGCTAGGCTTGGTGGTATGCACCTGTTATCCAGCTACAATGGGAAGTGAGAAATAGGTGGATGGCAGTCCACTGAAGTGATGGCACTTCCTAGACAGGAAGTGACACCCTATCAAAGCAGTAGAGCGCCTGCCAAGCACTACTTGGTCCCAATGTCAAACCCTAGAACCACACACACACACACACACCACAAAGTATACTCTATATTTTTTGGGGGGGGGGGTCTGGTGGTGGGGCCTGAACTCTGGGCCTGGGTGCTGTCCCTCAGCTCTTCAGCTCAAGGCTAGCGCTCTACCGCTTGAGCCACAGTGCCACTTGTGGCTTTTTTCTTTTTGCTTATGTGGTGCTGAGGAATCGAACCCAGGGCCTCAGGCATGCAAGGCAAGTGCTCTACCACTGAGCCACCTTCCCAGCCCTATACTCTGTATTTTATATGAAACTTTGGGACAACTTAAATTTTTCCCAGTGCCTCAGTGTTCATTTGTTAAACAGTGTTTCTATAACAATGTTAAGTGACTTGAATAAGGAAATACAAAGTTCTAGCACATAAATTTCTCAGTAAATATCTATTATTATCATCATCCACATCACCACTACCACCATCATCATAATCAATATAGAATACGGTTCTTGGGTTGACAGCGTGCTATTCAAGTACCCCATGCTTGCTCTTGGAGCTGCATTGTGGAATCATTGTCGGTAAACTTCAACTGAACTTACCACACGGCATTCAACAGCTGAGACGAGATTACAAAATGTAGGGATAAATTTAAGCACCGTATGTTTTATTTTAAGTTTCAGCAAAGGTTTATTTTAGTATACAAGGGTTAAAGTAGGGAAAAAGAGAAAGAAAATTTTCTATTTCTAGGCAGGAAACAGGAAGTAAAAGACTTCCTAAGAGCCATATGGAAGTAGAAAATATAAGGAAAAAGAAAGAGGGAAAAATCCTCAGGATGGTATGTGTTTTTGTTTTCTTGTTTGCTTGCTTGTTTGTTCTGATCTTTTCTCCTTTTCTTTTTTTTTTTTTGTGCTGATCCTACGGCTTGAACTCTGGGCCTGGACATTGTCCCTGAGCTCTTTTGCTCAAGAGAAGCTAGTACCCTACCACTCAAGCCACAGTGCCACATCCAGCTTTTTGATGGTTAATTGGAGATAAGAGTCTTACAGCCTCTCCTTCCCAGCTGGCCTCAAATTGTGATCCTCAGATCTCAGGTCCCTAAGTAGCTAGGATTACAGGCATGAGCCACCAGCGTCCAGCTCCCCTAAACGAATTTTATGCACAAAGATTTACCTGATATGTTTTTCCTTTAACCTCCTATAGTGATAAACTGAGACTGGTTAAACTTAAGTAATAGTTCTTAAAAACAAAAATCTCATCCAGAAATCCATTCTGTGAAACCCACAAGAGGCAGGGTCCTCTGTCAGAATTTGAGGGGAAGGCTCAGAGCCGATTATCTTACTAAAGCCTTTTCCCCTCAGTGCAGGGTCCCATGGTACCATTTAATCCTGAGGAAGGAGATCGTTGGGAAATCATTCATCAATAGCACGTTATAAAACAGTGACCTTCTCTGAACACAGTGTAAAACAACCCCGGCTTGCGCCTCGCGTTCATAACCCATCCAAATGGTTTGCTGAGATTTTATAGGAGAGAGCATTGATTTTGGAAGTTTGCAGCCATCTTTGGGTGTATTTACTTCAAATGTTGGTTTCACAGATAAAGAAACAGTAAACCAAAGACAAGAGGTCACCTACGTAGGCGCACTCGGAGGAGAAGGACAAGGACGGGGAGGAGGACAAGGAGGAGGAAGAGGAAGGCAGTGGAGTACCACACTTGCACCACCTGGGCAGGTAACTTTCTGTAATTGCATCACCCACAGGGCCTTTCGAAAACTGACTCTTCGGGTTGTAACGTTCCATCTTTATTTAACAAGAGAAAACTTCCAGCTCTTTCTCCAGTGACTAAACCAGGTCTGCAACGGCAGTGAAGGGGAGAAAAGGGAGGGAAATGTGACAATTAGCTATGGTTACTGAGTCTTGGACAAGGGGTGTTACTCAGATATTACAATCTCCTTTGAAACGTATACAGCACAATGTTCTTCTGTGCAGTCCTCCTCTCCTCACCCAATCATGGCCTCCAGGTCAAGAGCCCTTGGGCTAGGAGATGCAAATCCCATGGCCAGCATCAAGGCCAGAATAGCACAGCACCAGCTGCTGCCTTATTCATGGTCCACTGGCTAAAGGCTGCTCTGTTTCCCCATCCTTCATCTTTTATTTAAGTGGAATAGCATCGTATCCTGAAGACCGCTGGCACAAGAGAGGAGTGGAGGTTTTCAAGAGCATTTAATTGACCAGGTGGGACACATGAAGAGAAAAACAGGATGAAAGTGAAAGCATTCTCTTCCCATATTCATTACAGGATGCTCATCAATTATTATGATGGAAAGGAAGGCAAGGGAAGAGAAGGGGGAAGAGAGGAGGGATGGAGGAAGAAAAGGAAGGAGGAGAGGAAGGAAAGAAGGAATGAAGGAAGGAAGGAAGGCAGGGAGGGAGAGAGGGAGGGAGGAAGGAAGGAAAGAGAGAAAACTAAATTTACATTGAATAATCACGTTAAGGGAGAGCACCAGACCCTGAGTTCTAGCTGTGGTACTTCTGCATGGAAACACACATGCCTACACACACACACAGACAGACAGACAGACACACACACACACAGATCCTTCTTTGAAAGAGGGACATGGACATACTTCTGATATCTATCATCTACCATACTATATTATGTTCACCTCGTTATATTCATCTATTGGGAAACACTCTTCTGCTATTCTTCCTTACATATCAAGCCTTGCATTATTTGAAGACAGGGTGGAACATTTTCATCTCATCCAGTTTAACTCTATAGTTAAAGGGCTTGCAACACTCAGTTGGTTCAAATATATACATATATTTCACTAGCTCAGTTGTCATGAGCCTCCTCCATGTTTACTTAGCGTCATCAAAGTTCTTGGGACATGAACGATGGTTGGCTAGTTCAAAGAGAGGAACCCGTTGAAGCTCAGCATCCCCTGCAGTGTCCTGGAACCCAGGGCCAATTATGTCCACACCTGTTCTCCCCAGGGAAAAGAGGATGTGCTAAACATGCCACCAGATTTTGTCCCCACCCCCTCTCTTTAGTTTTCATATATTATTTTAGTAACTCGATTCTAAGTAGAAGATGATAAGAGCCAAAGATAATTTCATTGTATAAAAGCAAACGCATGTTTTAGCTTCATTCCATAAGCTCCTTTATCTTCCCCTGTCATCTGCTCACTCCACACCCCAGCCCTGAAACCTTTTGGCTGGAATGCAGCAGTGCCACCACCAATCCAGCAGGCCTCTGTCTCTGACCTGCAGAACGGGCTGGCTGAGCACCTCCATCATGCGCTCTCTGTCTCCATGGCTCATGGGTCAGCTTGACCCTCCAACTCATCTTTCTAAAGCAGTAACGACTCTGCCCCAGAATCAGGTCATCGAGCGAGAGGCAGAAGGCTTTCCTCTTATTGTCAGGATGTCTGTAAAAGTTCAATATTGCTGCTCTCAGAAAAAACATTTTTTTTTAAATCACTGAATCACCAGTATGATCAAAAGAAAGGAGAAATCAGAGAGGAAAAATAGGAGGGGAGAGAGAAGGAGAGGGAGGAGACCAGTAAGCAAAACCAAAGAGGAACTGATAAGCATAAAAAAGAAAGAAGATACAAAGAAAAGACAGAGCTCACTGGGAGATGCTATTGGAAAGACTTGGGCTGACAGATACCTAAACATCCAGATTTTTTTTCTTTTTGGTGGGAGAAATTGGGGAGTAAGGACTCAGCAGCTGAGCCCTTCCCTGTAATCCTAGCTACTCAGGCAGCTGACATCTGAGGATCACAGTTCAAAGCCAGCCTCAGCAGGAAAGTCCATGAGAAACTTAGCTCCAATTAACCACCAGAAAATGAGAACTGGGGTGGTGGCTCAAAGTAGTAGAGCACTAGCCTTAAGCAAAAGTGCTCAGGGACAGCACCCACCCAGGTCCTGAGTTCAAATCCTAGGACCCACAACCACCACAACAAAAATCAATATTACACCTCACCCTTAAATTGTTCCCCAGGGAAAGTGTCCTGTTCCTAATCAGATATAGTAATAACTGGTGATCAATGAGATAAAGGCTTGGGGTTTTTTTCATAGTCAGACTTTAGCTGCAAAGAAGAATTAGAAAGCTCAAGACACAAAGAACAAGCAATGGCTCCTTTCCCAAACTGCAGGGTAGCTGACAGGAGAGAGAGAAGGGAACACTCTTGTGAGGGGAAGCAGGGCCTCTGCGGGAAAAGGGCTCATGATGAGGGAACACAAGCTTTCACCCTGTAGCTGTTTGTCCCACATCCCTGATCCAGGTGTTGGGGGCCCATCAGCCCTCTTCTCAAAGGCAGAGAAGGGACCATAGGCCGTATATTCGGAGGCCATAGATGCTGTGTTATAAGCCGAATATCCTCTGTAAAAACCAGACAAGGAGAAGTGACTAGAAGTTCACTGATGCAAAAAATAATAACAAACCTACACATGCCAACTGTGCTGTCAGAAGGTTCTTTGGAGTTGGGCCAATCTAGAATTTTCCTCTTGTATCCCTGCTCTGAACTAGAAGAGACTCCCAGTTTGAAGCTCACAGCTGGTATTAGTAGGCCTTTGGCCATGCTTGGTTACAGATGCTGTGTCCTGGCAGTTCTGCTAGCCCAGAGCAAGGACCCAACCCCAGCCCCAGACACCATGACTTCTCCTGACTTTGCAAACATGAGCCTTCAGACTATCTCACAGATATCTTTTTGTAAATTTTCAGTCCTTTGGAATTTGTGGGATTAGGTGTTGATCTCCACATTATTTTTTCAAATTGTGGTTAGAAACGGAACAACCATGAAATTTACCATTGTAAACCATTTTGTGAGGGTACAGTTCAGTAGAGTTAAAGACATTCATGTGGTTGTGCAAGCAATCTAGAGCTTTATCAGTGAGAAGAGCAGAAACTATGTCCTCATTAAACAACTAAGTCACAGTTTCCTCGGCCCAGCCCTGGTAATACTAGCTCTCTGTTTCCCTGGTTAGTTGCTCTAATAGCTCTCACGAAGGACACAGTATTCATCTTTTATGAGTGGTTTACTTCACCTAAATAACAAAATTCACCTTTGAGACATACATCAGAGCTCCTTTCGTGAGGCTAAATAATATTACAGGTGCATACTACCTTTTGCTTATTGACTGGTTGCTAACAGGAATTTTGGATTGCTTGTGCATTTTGACTACTATAATTAACACTACTATGACTATGGGAATTCACTTAGTGGCGTATTTTTTTTTTTTATTGTTGTTGTCAGTCATGGGGCCTGAACTCTAGGCCTAGGTGCTGTCCCTCAACTCTTCAGCTCAAGGCTAGTGCTCAACCACTTGAGCCACACCTCCATTACCAGCTTTTCACTGATTGACAGGAAATAAGAGTCACACAGGCTTTTCTTCCCTAGCTAGGTTTAAACCAAGACCCTCAGATCTCAGCCTCCTGAGTGACTAGGATTATAATGATGAGCCACCCGTGCCTGGCTAAATACTTTCTTTTAATAGCTATACAACGGTGAGATTAAACTCATCCATAGCCAGTATCCCACAAAGCACTATGACATTTCTCATTAAAATCAAATTCAAAATTTTCTCCTCCAGCTTTCAGTCTTTCCTGGGGAGTGTGTCAGGGTGTGGTAAAACAAAACAAAGTAAAAACTGCTTTGCAGTCACAGTTACTCAACCCAAGCCATGTTGCCCAAGATCTGGGTCTCTATTGTTTTGCTTTTGTTAAAGTCAAGAACAATTAGAAACATTAGGATGCGCTCCAACATCCCCGAAACACTGTACCAACAACAACTTGTTACATTGTGGCTACAAGGTGTTTTCCTTTAGAATATCATTTCAGTCACCTTTTTGGGGGGATGGAGGGTGGGGGTGGGGTGCTGGTCTGGAGCTTGAACTCAAGGCCTGAGTGCTGTCCCTCTACTACTTGAGCCACAGTGGTAGTTTATTAGAGATAAGAATCTCATGGACTTTCCTGCCTGGTCTGGCTTTGAACCTCAATCCTCAACTCTCAGCCTCTGAGTAGCTTAGATAACAGGTGTGTGAGCCACCAGTACCTGGCTTAGAGTAAGCCCCTTGCCTAAAAGCAATACAATGGAATGGTTTGTCCCTTCCTCTCTGGGGACTCTGTGGAATTACTGAACTCATCATGAGTGGACCAAGAAAATTCCTTCATTGCTTCTAAGTGGAGTTCCTTTTCTTCTTTTGCTTTAGTTCATCATAAACTTTTTGAGGTATCTTTATTTTTTTAGCTCACGCTAAAACTTGGATTTCCAAATCATACTTACGAGGCTGACTGATGGTATACACTTCACCAGCACCATGGGAAGCTGGCTGCCAAAGGAAATCTGAGACAGAAAGCCAGCTGCCAGACAGATGTTAAGCAAGCATGAAACTTTATGTGGGGCACTGGACACATTAAGGGCACACCCCAAAAAAAACAAGAGCCAGGTATTCAGAAAGCCAGTGGGCGATGACATCTAGTTCTTGAGCGGCTGCAGTAGGAAATGGTGCCATGCAGACTGAAACCGTGTGCAGACCTCTGATGCAATAAGAAACCCATGTCTACATCTCTGTGGATGAAACTGCTTGTGTGAGCCGGGAACTTAGGCCCTGAGATGAGAACCACCAGGAAAGAGGGTCCAGCGCAGACCCATAGGCCAGTGGCCGGAGACCTCCCCAAGACACAACCAACCATGTCTTCCACGGGATCTGGTTGTAAGGTTGCA